GATCACTACTCCTCAAGATCATTACTTCTCAAGATTACTACTCTTCAAGATCACTACTTCTCAAAATCACTACTCCTCAAGATCACTACTCCTCAAGATGACTACTTCCCAAGACCACTACTCCTCAAGATTACTACTCCTCAAGGTCACTGCTCATCAAGGTCACTACTCCTCAAGATCACTACTCCTCAAGATCACTACTCCTCAAGGTCACTGCTCATCAAGGTCACTACTCCTCAAGATCACTACTCCTCAAGATCACTACTCCTCAAGATCACTACTCCTTAAGTTCACTACTCCTCAAGATCACTACTCCTTAAGATCACTACTCCTCAACATCACTACTCCTCAAGATTACTTCTCCTCAAGATTACTACTCCTCAAGATTACTACTCCTCAAGATCACTACTCCACAAGATCACTACTCCTCAAGTTCAATACTCCTCAGTATAACTACTCCTCAAGACCACTACTCTTCAAGATCACTACTCCTCAAGTTCACTACTCCTCAAGATCACTACTCCTCACGATCACTGCTCCTCAAGGTCACTACTCCTCAAGATCACTACTCCTCAAGATCACTACTCCTCAAGATCACTACTCCTCAAGATTACTACTCCTCAAGATTACTACTCCTCAGAATTACTACTCCTCAAGATTACTACTCCTCAAGATCACTACTTCTCAAAATCACTACTTCTCAAGATCACTACTCCTCAAGATCACTTCTTCTCAAGATTACTACTCCTCAAGATGACTACTTCTCAAGACCACTACTCCTCAAGATTACTACTCCTCAAGGTCACTACTCCTCAAGGTCACTACTCCTCAAGATTACTACTCCTCAAGATCACTACTCCTCAAGATTACTACTCCTCAAGCTCACTACTCCTCAAGATTACTACTCCTCAAGCTCACTACTCCTCAAGACCACTACTCCTCAAGATCACTACTCCTCAAGATAACTACTCCTCAAGATCACTACTCCTCAAGATCACTACTCCTCAAGTTCACTACTCCTCAAGACCACTACTCCTCACGATCACTACTCCTCAAGATCACTGCTCCTCAAGATCACTACTCCTCAAGATCACTGCTCCTCAAGATTACTACTCCTCAAGATCACTACTCCTCAAGATTACTACTCCTCAAGATCACTACTCCTCAAGATTACTACTCCTCAAGATCACTTCTCCTAAAGATAACTACTCCTCAAGATCACTACTCCTCAAGATTACTACTCCTCAAGATCACTGCTCCTCAAGATCACTACTCCTCAAGATCACTACTCCTCAAGATCACTACTCCTCAAGATCACTACTCCTCAAGATCACTACTCCTCAAGGTCACTTCTCCTCAAGATCACTACTCCTCAAGATCACTACTCCTCAAGACCACTACTCCTCATTGTCACTACTCCTCAAGTTCACTACTCCTCAAGACCACTACTCCTCATTGTCACTACTCCTCAAGATCACTACTCCTCAAGATCACTACTCCTCAAGGTCACTACTCCTCAAGATCACTACTCCTCAAGATTACTACTCCTCAAGATCACTACTCCCCAAGATTACTACTCCTCAAAATTTCTATCCCTCAAGGTTCACTAAATTTCAAAAAACACTACTCCTCAAGATCACTACTCCTCAAGATTACTAAACCCCCAAGATCAGTACTCCCCAAGATTACTACTCCTCATGCTCACTACTCCTCAAGACCACTACTCCTCAAGATCACTACTCCTCAAGTTCACTACTCCTCAAGATCACTACTCCTCAAGATCACTACTCCTCAAGATAACTACTCCTCAAGATCACTACTCCTCTAGATCACTACTCCTCAAGTTCACTACTCCTCAAGACCACTACTCCTCATTGTCACTACTCCTCAAGTTCACTACTCCTCAAGCACACTACTCCTCAAGATCACTACTCCTCTAGATCACTACTCCTCAAGTTCACTACTCCTCAAGATCACTACTCCTCAAGATCACTACTCCTCAAGATTACTACTCCTCAAGATCACTACTCACCAAAATTACTACTCCTCAAGATTACTACTCCTCAAGATCACTATTTCTCAAAATCACTACTCCTCAAGATCACTACTCCTCAAGATCAATACTCCTCAAGATCACTACTCCTCAAGATCACTGCTCCTCAAGATCAATACTCCTCAAGATCACTACTCCTCAAGATCACTACTCCTCAAGATTACTGCTCCTCAAGATCACTACTCCTCAAGATCACTACTCCTCAAGATAACTACTCCTCAAGTTCAATACTCCTCAGTATTACTACTCCTCAAGACCACTTCTCTTCAAGATCACTACTTCTTAAGATCACTACTCCTCAAGATCACTACTTGTCAAGATCACTACTCCTCAAGATCACTACTCCTCATGTTCACTACTCCTCAAGATCACTACTCCTCACGATCACTGCTCCTCAAGGTCACTACTCCTCAAGTTCACTACTCCTCAGGATCACTACTCCTCAAGACCACTACTCCTCAAGGTCACTACTCCTCAAGATTACTACTCCTCAGGATCACTACTCCTCAAGACCACTACTCCTCAAGATCAGTACTCCTCAAGATCACTACTCCTCAAGATCACTACTCCTCAAGATCACTACTTTTCAAGATTACTACTCCTCAAGGTCACTACTTCTCAAAATCACTACTCCTCAAGATCACTACTCCCCAAGATCACTACTACTCAAGATCTCTACTCCTCAAGATTACTACTCCTCAAGCTCACTACTCCTCAAGTTCACTACTACTCAAGATCACTACTCCTCAAGTTCACTACCCTCAAGATCACTACTCCTCAAGATCACTAAATCCTCAAGGTCACTACTCTCAAGAAACACATCCTCAAGATCACTACTTCTCAAGATCACTGCTCCTCAAGATCACTACTCCTCAAGATCACTACTCCTCAAGATCACTACTCCTCAAGATCATTACTCCTCAAGATCACTACTCCTCAAGATCACTACTCCTCAAGATCACTACTCCTCAAGATCACTACTCCTCAAGATCACTACTCCCTCCTTCCACCATCACCAGAATATTGCCAACACCTTAATGAAGTTAATACCAAGATATAATAACTACTAGATTTAGATATCCAGGATAAATGAATCACATAAAACACTACACAACCCGTAGATTGGAGAATGAAAGTTTCACGACGTTTCGGTCCGACATGGACCATTAACTAGTGACCAAAACGTCATCAGTTTCATTCTCCTATGTTCGGATTATTTGTGTATTGTTCTAGTCCCGTTATTGTGACGTTTGTCGATTAGATATACAAACTGTTTATATAGAGGAGATTGCAGGCCAATTATAACTAATGTTTTGGTAGTGGTAATAAGATAACAAATAGTTTGAATTTTGTATTCCATACTGCATTGTGACTCACGAAATCGTAATAAGACGATTGCAAACCAGGGTAGGGGCGGGGTTAGAACTCATGGCAATTGAGTTTTACGACTCACTCGTAATGAGTTCTAATCCCAACCTTGACGTGTTTTTTTTATACTGCATTGTGTATATCATGAAGTTATTGTAAAATACGAAATGACTAGTATTTCTTATTAGTGACGTAACAACGCTCACTGGGGACTGACACAGACCCATTGTGACCTCTATAATCCTACTTTTTGCGCTGCCGTTCACAGGATGCGCCGTAGGTGGTGCGCAATGAACTAGCCACTCAGGAGGCACAACTAACTGAACAATATCGTATAAATAATATGATGTAGTGATCAGGTTATACCGACTTCCAGGGTATAGTGGCCATTAGGGTATGGTAAGTATCAGGAAATACTGCCAGCACAGTGTCCATCAGAATATGCTGAATACCTGCATATACCTACCACCAGTATACTGTGACCACCACAGCTTGGCATGAGTGGGATCAGGGTCAGGGTCAGGGTCAGGGGTGGGTAGCGGAAGTGTTTCTGAAACAGAAATTGAGTCAGATATCACGTGTGGAAAAAGAGCACCGTCAGTGTCTCTATAAATATTGATTTTTCAGATTTCATGTAGTTAATACGAAAATAAAGTACGGATATTGCGACTCAAGGTAAATAATTATATTTCTTCATATCGATTTAAATTTCGTACTAGAATGACGATTGTACCACGATTTTTTTTTTTTTTTTTTTTGAGCAGTACGGAGGCAGGGAGGAGTCCCAGGGTGACCTTGACCTAATGGAGAAGTTAGCTGGTACGTATATATAACTGGACCGTCGCCTCCCTCAACACTCATCTACTGCTGCTAAGGTAAGCTGGATCATCCAGTCTCTAAACCCATCTTCTGTATAGCCCTTGTGGCTTAGCGCTTCTTTTTGATTATAATAATCTAAACCCATCTTGTCTGATATTTATCATATTTTATTCCACATTATATTGTTTTCACCTTTCCCGGTTTCTATTTCATCCCATTTATCTACACTAAAATCCAATATCGGTTTCTCGTGAGAACTGTTCAGTCTGTCGTGGTGTTCCAGCAGGCATACACAGTATTTATTGCAGCATCGCGAACGTGCTTATATAGTATTTTTCTTAATTATTTACTTACGGAAAGTCTCGTTTTCCCAGCTGTCTCTTGTCTCAATTCCTCCGGAAATCAGTATCATTAATTTGAGCTGGAGAAACTTTATCAGCCATTTCTTTGATCAGTCTTGTGGTTTATCAAGTTTTTTCTTGTAGTATAGTACAGTTCTCTTTAACTTATATCCTCTTCACGATTTTCACATCTGCGGAAAATTATTTATAATGATTTAATCATACAAGCAAGTTGTTCATTTACACTAGAAACAGTATGAGACCTAAGTGTAACCCTCCAGGTACTCCACTTGTTACACTTGCCCACCTTGATATTTTTTTTATGTCTTCCCGTCTCGCTGTTACTGTCTCAACACTTGCACCAAGCTTGCAAGGGTGTAAGCTGGGCGCCAGGTATGAAAACATCAATCACTTGCAATATGTCGGCTACAGTAATTAAGTTTTGTTTAGACTTACTACACAAAGCTTTGAAGATCTTATACAGTACATTATGTAGAATTTAAGCTAGGATTATCCAGTGAAGTCATATATATATTTTGCTTATTTTTAGCGAATCGATCATATATATACTGGAAAATACAAGAAAATTATATGCAATTATTAATTTGCGTTAATAGATTTAAATGCCGGATACCAGGTAGAACATTGCCTTGTCCCATGATAACCAACTCTTGCTCCATACTTTGTTAGAAACTATATACATCTCACAGTATTGTTCCACTGATAACTAACTCATGGTCTTTTCACTGTTAGAAGGTATGTACGTATTGCATCATTATTCCACTAATAACTATCTCTTGGTCCATACATTGTCAGAAACTATTTACATCATACAGAAGCGTTATATTGTTAGTAGTTTGGTACATACATACTATAAGTACAACTCAGGTAATCAAAATAATTCTTTATAAATTAGTCTTAGTTTAAGTCACATCCATACTTGTTCCCATAGCATATGTCGCACGTATATTTTATTGACGAAATTGTTACTGAACAGCTACATTATAAACATGCACTACCCACATGAAAACACAGATAGCATACATATTCGATCATTTCTGAACTATTATTATGTTACGAGTGAAAGAGAAAGAGGTGAGAAAACCAAAAGACTTGGTTGGAAAAGCGAAGGAGGAACAGCAGGTCTGTAGGAGTAGTATTGAAAGTAGTAGTAGTATTGAAAGTGGTAGCAGTAGTATTAAAATAAGTAGTAGTAGTAGTAGTAGTATTAAAAGTGGTAGTAGTGGTGAATATGAAAATAATATACAATACGAACAGGTTGGTAAGTAAGACACATATGCAACAGTTAGGTATCTTTATTCCGAAACGTTTCGCCTACACAGTAGGCTTCTTCAGTCGAGTGCAGAAAAGTTGGCAGAAGTAGTAGAGATGTGAAGACGATGTAATCAGTCAAACTACGTCTTCAAGGGAGATGTACAGATTACATCATCTTCACATCTCTACTGCTTTTGCCAACTTGTGTGTACTTGACTGATGAAGCCTACTGTGTAGGCGAAACGTTTCGGAATAAAGATACCTAACTATTGCATTTGTGTCTTACTTACCAACTACTATAGGTCTACTGACCCATGTAATCCTGTTTCTCTTATATATTTTTATTGAGTGTCTCCTGTGTGATGTTTTGTCTTTGTGGGAAACTTGTGTTATGTGCGATTTTTTTTTTTTAACAAATTAATTTGTGAGGTGAATGATCTTTAGCTACTCTATCCCGTTAAGCTTTTACTACTACTACTACTACTACTACTACTACTACTACTAATAATAATAATAATAATAATAATAATAATAATAATAATAATAATAATAATAATAATAATAATAATAATAATAATCACCAGTAGTACTTCTGTTAATATTACTACAACTATAACTTCTACTTCTACTACTAATAACAACACTAATAATACCACCACTACTACTACTACTACTACTTCTATGACTACGACTAATATTACCACTGCTTTTACTACTACTACTACTAATAATAATAATAATGGTTAATAATAATAATAATACCATCACCTCCACTAGTTCAATAACTATTACTACGACTATTACTATTACTACTGTTACTACGTAACTTTTGATGAAAATGGTATAAAATGCCGAAAATTTGAAGAATAAGACACATTTGCAACGTTTCGCCTACACAGTAGGTTTCTTCAGTCTTCGAGGTGGTCAGTCCCTCTGCCTGGATAAGAGTTCAGTTCCAAGGAACGAAACCCAGCTCTTACATATGTGTCTTAATCTTCAACTACGTAACTATGTTTTCTCTATTCTTTTCCTTCCCGTCTTTAGGTTTTCTTCCGATTTTCTCGCTCTTTTGCTCCTGATTTGTTTTGCGAGAGTGTGGATTATTTATGAATGGTTCCTGCTAGAGAATTGTGATTTTTTTTTTTGTCTTTCATTTTCCCAGATGAAGGCGATTGTTGTGCTCTTGTGTGTGGTGGGACTGGCGTCGTGTCAGTTCTTCCCGCCGAGGCAGAACTTCGACAGGTTCCCGTCCCGTGGTTCTAGTGGCAGGTTCCCGTCCCAAGGTTCTGCTGGAAGGTTCCCGTCCCAAGGTTCTGCTGGCAGGTTCCTGTCCCAAGGTGCTACTTCAGGAGTCCAGGTGAGCCCGCTGCCCGTCCTTGTAACTGTGAGGATAAACATTCACCCACCTAATGGAAATGAGTCACTGTGATTTTTTGGGGTTATCCCAGGTTCTCTACACATATGCTGCTATGTATGGTAATATATGTAACTGTATTTGTGTATACCTGAATAAACTTACTTGTCCAACCTATTCACAAAGCTTCCCAAGAAATAGCCTCAATACCTCAGACACTAATTAAACCCAGCCCTTCTCACTTATATAGCTGTCCAGTCTCTTTTTAAAGCTACCTAAAGCCTTAGCCTCTATTACCCTAAACATTCTAGCTGACTGGAAGTTTGTACCGTGGGCACGATGTTGTTCGTGGGCTCTTTAGCGTGTTTTCCCTATTGGCATATATGCACAAGGAGATATTTCTATTTGCAAGCAGCTCATGGTTGCCTCACACTCCTTTGAGAAATTAGTATAAATACTTTTAGTTACTCAATAGCGAGATTAAGCTTTCATCGAAAATTAATTCTAGAGACAATGATTTATTCCGTCACACTATTATAATGTTTACTAGACATGTAATGCATTCCGTTAGAATGTAAACAAAAAAGTTACGTTAATTAAGCACTGGATTCCCACTAAACATTCAAAGTATATATGGAGGTTAGATAATATGCTTTTCCTTCCTTATAAAAGTCAATGATACTACAAAAAATAAATGGAAATTCTTTTCTGTTTAAATTATGTTCAGATTTATATGTTTCAGCAACAATTTTACGGAATCTAACTATTCAAAATTTACTACGTTAGAAAATAGATAAATTGAACTCATCAGTGCCGAAATATATCGGATGACATCCAGTCTATAAGACGCGTCGAACATTACTGTTTCAGGACATTTACTCACTGGGAATAAATGATTTACAAAACCGACACGTTGATAAATGAAATATTTTTACAATATATGGGTATGTTAGGTAAAAGGACACAGGTACAACTAATATGTCATTTTATTGTGGCAACGTTTCGCTCTCCAGGAGCTTTGTCAAGCGAAACGTTGCTACAATAAAATGTCACATTAGTTGCACTTGTATCCTTTTACCTAATATATTTTCGGTAATTCTGCCAACATTAATACATTTTGGTATCTTTATTCTGGAAACGTTTCGTCCCACAGCGGCTTCTTCAGTCCAATGCAGAAAAAGATGGAAAAAGAGGAGGAGTTTGAAGTACTCAATCCCTGAGCCTTCAGTTGATGTGTTCAGCTCATCAATCTCGAATTTTGTCAAGACTAACTGACTGAACACATCGACTCAAGGCTGAGAGACTGATTACCTCAAGCTCCTCCTCTTTTTTCACCTTTTTCTGAAATGGACTGTAGAAGCCACTGTGTGGCGAAATGTATCCAGAATAAAATACAAGTGGCAAATTTTCACCCAAATACTCACACAACAATCACAATCTTTTTCAAAGTAGGATACACTAGCCTTAAAAGTTTGAAGCCGATCAGAAGAAGCATTCCCAAAGGGTAAAATATGGAGAGGCTTAAATGCCGTAATCAGGAATAGTGAATTTAAAATTGTCCAGAGGGCACCTTCACATGTTATTACTTTCGTGAAAATTGCTCTAATTAGACTACATCAGCATTGAAAATGTGAAGCTGATTACAATGGCGTTCTCAAATTACATGCAAATTTCTTTTAAGAAAAATATAATATAAGCCTTTAAAAGATATGCTTTCAGGACTATCTGATATAGATGAGTAAAAAATATTTAAACATTGAAAGAGGTAAATAAATGCAGGAAAAATGATTCCATTCTTAATTATTTTTGTAGCTAAATTTGAAAAGGACAAAAACAAGCCTAGTGGCTTACGCACTGGCCTGGAATTTGCTTGTCACTCGCGATGGATTCAAACCCCATCCGTTGCATGGTTTAATAACAAGTTCTTATGTTTGTGTTATAGGCTGACGACACCTTCGGTGGAAGTCAATACTACTTCTCCTGGAAACACGATGGTGGTAAGGAGTACACTGGAAGTGCTGCTGCCAGCTTGTGTTCCAGTCTGGGTGGCGGGTGGCAGGCTGTGGGTATCAGCTCCCAGGAAGAACTCAATTACATCCATGGCATTATTGGCAGAGGTTAGTTTCTGTTGTACTTGTTGCTTTACTTGCATATTAAACTGCAGGCTTTTATTTCCTTGTAAGAGATATCTTTTCTAAATAAAAATATCTCTTTTTGTGTGAACAGAGAGACTGGATTACATCTGGACTGGCGGGAACAAGTCTGGAAGCAGCTTTAAGTGGCTGAATGGTGAACCTTTCAGTGTTACTGGCTGGTCACACACCGGAGGGTAAGCTGTACACAAGTACACATACATTCACACACACTCCCACAACATATACATATACACTTACAAAATACTTCAAGTAATTCGTACTGAAGGTCGGAAATATTGTTTAAATGGCGGAAAGTGGGAATTTGGGTGCACAGTTAGAAGGTAAAATCAGGGATTTTGAGAAATTTTTCTCCAATCTCATGATGATCAGAAAGTGTAAAGAACTAGTCGAAGAAATGTTGGAGAAAGAATTTATTTCAGCTATAAGAAAATATATGAAAGGGCTTGAAATATGTGAACCAGGTCAGGTTTATTAAAAAAAACTGTCAAGAGCTGCGTCTCGACTCCCCTCCCTTCCCAATGTCTAATAAGCTTGATTTTATTCCCACTGCAATTATCACACAGCATAAGGTAGCAGCATACTGTTGAAGTAACCAGTTCTGTTAAAAGAAAAACTCGCTTCGCTCGCAAGTGAAGATGCATTGCGGCAATATTCTTGCTTTCAAATTAATGAACACTAAGGCATATCCTCTGTGAGGCATCATTGATTATCTTACGGTCTGGGTGACTTGCGGTTGTTCATCCATCCATATTTCATTTTACGTGATGAATTAAGGAATATCACACACGAGAGAGTGATAGAGGGACTGCATATTTCTAGATTGTAAGAAATTATACCACTGGCCGGGATAGAGCCCGCGATCAGGTGTCATAAAACTCCCCGCCCGTGGTATGGTTTGTCTGCAATTGTGTTATTACGATTACGTGTGTCACGATGTAAGGAATTCTTTGATAGGTTGTTACATAATTGATTATTAGGTTAATAAAAAATTCTGGAAACTTTACAAATTTATATGTTAAACAAACCATGGAAGGCAAGACAAGAAACATAATCGAAATGAAGTTTGTGTATAAACAATGCAGACGAAAGTAATGATAAACAAATATATCATTACAGTCTACAAACATTACATAAATTACACATATGTTTTGCAACACTGAATATATTAAAATGTTGATTAGACAGTAGTCATTGTTGTCGGTACTCACTCAGGAGGGAGAGTTGTCATGAATATTGGTGATGTGTTTGTTGCAGACTCCGCAAACCTCAGCCAGACAACCGTGAAGGTGGCAAGGAGAACTGCCTGGCCATTCTCAACAACTTCTACAAGGATGGCATCAAGTGGCACGACGTAGCCTGCCACCACCTGAAGCCCGTCATCTGTGAACGTCGAGCTTAATGCCACCTGTGTCACATTCTCTCACTAGTCTCCTCACTTTCCACTTTTCATCCCCTCACAGTTACTCAAGGATTTTGAGTTGAGTTACATTCATAGGTCTGTGAACTATGAACATAATTGTTAACACTCAGACCTTCTCTCTCTCTCTCTCTCTCTCTCTCTCTCTCTCTCTCTCACTCTCTCTCCTCTCTCTCTCTCTCTCTCTCTCTCTTATATGCTCATTTTCCGTCTTCTGAATAGGTGACATCATCAGTAATAACGCCTTATATACATACATATATATATAATATACATATATATATATTATATATATATATATATATATATATATATATATATATATATATATATATATATATATATATATACACATATATATATATACACATATATGTATATATATGTATATATATATATAATATATATATATAATATAATATATATATATATATATATATATATATAATATATATATATATATATATATATATATATTTATATAATAGTATTTATTTATTACTATCGTCATGTAATTTATTAGCATTGGCAAAATAAATACGATAATTGTATTAATAACGTTGTAATAATTTTGTTCCTCATTTATCTGTTGTATCTGTGAATTTGATTGTGTGTACTGCTATTGTTGTTATGATGATTGAGTGTACTGCTATTGTTGTTATGATGATTGTGTGTACTGCTATTGTTGTTATGATGATTGTGTGTACTGCTATTGTTGTTATGATGATTGTGTGTACTGCTATTGTTGTTATGATGATTGTGTGTACTGCTATTGTTGTTATGATGATTGTGTGTACTGCTATTGTTGTTATGATGATTGTGTGTACTGCTATTGTTATGATGATTGTGTGTACTGCTATTGTTGTTATGATGATTGTGTGTACTGCTATTGTTATGATGATTGTGTGTACTGCTAATGTTGTTATGATCATTGAGTGTACTGCTATTGTTGTTATGATGATTGTGTGTACTGTTATTGTTGTTATGATGATTGTGTGTACTGCTATTATGATGATTGTGTGTACTGCTATTGTTGTTATGATGATTGTGTGTACTGCTATTATGATGATTGTGTGTACTGCTATTGTTATGATGATTGTATGTACTGCTATTGTTGTTATGATGATTGTGTGTACTGCTATTGTTGTTATGATGATTGTGTGTACTGTTATTGTTGTTATGATGATTGTGTGTACTGCTATTATGATGATTGTGTGTACTGCTATTGTTATGATGATTGTATGTACTGCTATTGTTGTTATGATGATTGTATGTACTGCTATTGTTGCTATGATGAATGTATGTACTGCTATTGTTGTTATGATGATTTTGTGTACTGCTATTATGATGATTGTGTGTACTGCTATTGTTGCAATGATGATTGTGCGTACTGCTATTGTTGCAATGATGATTGTGTGTGCTGCTATTGTTGCAATGTGATGTGTTGTACTGCTATTGTTGCAATGATGATTGTGTGTACTGCTATTGTTGTTATGATGATTGTGTGTGTACTGCTATTGTTGCAATGATGATTGTGTGTACTGCTATTGTTGCTATGATGATTGTGTGTACTGCTATTGTTGCAATGATGATTGTGTGTACTGCTATTGTTGCAATGATGATTGTGTGTACTGCTATTGTTGTTATGATGATTGTGTGTACTGCTATTGTTGTTATGATGATTGTGTGTACTGCTATTGTTGTTATGATGTTTGTGTGTACTGCTATTGTTGTTATGATGATTGTGTGTACTGCTATTGTTGTTATGATGATTGTGTGTACTGCTATTGTTATGATGATTGTGTGTACTGCTATTGTTGTTATGATGATTGTGTGTACTGCTATTATGATGATTGTGTGTACTGCTAATGTTGTTATGATCATTGAGTGTACTGCTATTGTTGTTATGATGATTGTGTGTACTGTTATTGTTGTTATGATGATTGTGTGTACTGCTATTATGATGATTGTGTGTACTGCTATTGTTATGATGATTGTATGTACTGCTATTGTTGTTATGATGATTGTATGTATTGCTATTGGTGCTATGATGAATGTATGTACTGCTATTGTTGTTATGATGATTTTGTGTACTGCTATTATGATGATTGTGTGTACTGCTATTGTTGCAATGATGATTGTGCGTACTGCTATTGTTGCAATGATGATTGTGTGTGCTGCTATTGTTGCAATGATGATTGTGTGTACTGCTATTGTTGCAATGATGATTGTGTGTACTGCTATTGTTGTTATGATGATTGTGTGTACTGCTATTGTTGCAATGATGATTGTGTGTACTGCTATTGTTGCTATGATGATTGTGTGTACTGCTATTGTTGCAATGATGATTGTGTGTACTGCTATTGTTGCAATGATGATTGTGTGTACTGCTATTGTTGCTTTGATGATTGTGTGTACTGCTATTGTTGCTATGATGATTGTATGTACTGCTATTGTTGCTTTGATGATTGAGTGTACTGCTATTGTTGCTATGATGATTGTGTGTACTGCTATTGTTGCTATGATGATTGTATGTACTGCTATTGTTGCTATGATGATTCTATGTACTGCTATTGTTGCAATGATGATTGTGTGTACCGCTATTGTTGCAATGATGATTGTGTGTACTGCTATTGTTGCTTTGATGATTGCGTGTACTGCTATTGTTGCTATGATGATTGTATATACTGCTATTGTTGCTTTGATGATTGTGTGTACTGCTATTGTTGCTATGATGATTGCGTGTACTGCTATTGTTGCTTTGATGATTGTGTGTACTGCTATTGTTGCTTTGATGATTGTGTGTACTGCTATTGTTGCTATGATGATTGTGTGTACTGCTATTGTTGCTTTGATGAATGTGTGTACTGCTATTGTTGCTATGATGATTTTGTGCACTGCTGTTGTTGCTATGATGATTGTGTGTACTGCTATTGTTGCTGTAATGATTGTGTGCTCACCTAGTTGTGGTTGCAGGTGTCGATTCATAGCTCCTGGCCCCGCTTCTTCACTGGTCGCTACTTGGTCACTCTCCCTGAACCATGGGCTTTATCATACCTCTGCTTAATTAAAGCTATGTATGGATCCTGCCTCCACTACATCGCTTCCCAAACTATTCCACTTCCTGACTACTCTGTGGCTGAAGAAGTACTTCCTAACATCCCTGTGATTCCTCTGTGTCTTCAACTTCCAACTGTGTCCCCTTGTTACTGTGTCCCATCTCTGGAGCATCCTGTCCTTGTCCACCTTGTCAATTCCTCTCAGTATTTTGTATGTCGTTATCATGTCCCCCCCCCCTATCTCTCCTGTCCTCCAGTGTCGTCAGGTTGATTTCCCTTAACCTCTCCTCATAGGACATACCTCTTAGCTCTGGGACTAGTCTTTTTGCAAACCTTGGCACTTTCTCTAGCTTCTTTTCGTGCTTGGCTAGGTGTGGGTTCCAAACTGGTGCCGCATACTCAAATATGGGCCTAACGTACACGGTGTACAGGGTCCTGAACGATTCCTTATTAAAATGTCGTAATGATGTTCTGAGGTTTGCTAGGCGCCCATATGCTGCAGCAGTTATTTGCTTGATGTGCACCTCAGGAGATACGCCTGGTGTTATACTCACCCAAAGATCTTTTTCCTTGAGTGAGGTTTGTAGTCTCTGGCCCCCCTAGACTGTACTCCGTCTGCGGTCTTCTTTGTCTTTCCCCAATCTTCATGACTTTGCATTTGGTGGGGTTGAACTCCAGGAGCCAATTGCTGGACAAGGTCTGCAGCCTGTCCAGATCCCTTTGTAGTTCTGCCTGGTATTCGTCCGAATGAATTCTTCTCATCAACTTCACATCATCTGCAAACAGGGGCACTTCGGAGTCAATTCCTTCCGTCATGTCGATCACAAATACCAGAAACAGCACTGGTCCTTGGACTGACCCCTGTGGGACCCCACTTGTCACAAGTGCCCACTCTGACACCTCGCCACGTACCATGACTCGCTTCTGTCTTCCTGACAAGTATTCCCTGATCCGTTGTAGTGCCTTCCTTGTTATCCCTGCTTGGTCCTCCAGTTTTTGCACTAATCTCTTGTGTGGAACTCTGTCAAACGCCTACTTACACTCCAAGAAAATGCAATCTTCCCATCCCTCTCTCTCTTGTCTTACTGCCGTCACCATGTCATAGAACTCCAGTAGGTTTGTGACACAGAATTTCCCGTCCCTGAAGCCATGTTTGCTGCTGTTGATGAGATCATTCCTTTCTAGGTGTTCCACCACTCTTCTCCTGACTACATTTGCTGTCTTTCATGCCTCAGGCAATCTCCCTGTTTCGATAGATGTATTGAATATTGTTGTTAGGGATACACATAGCGCCTCTGCTTCCTCTATCAGGACCCATGGAGAGGTGTTATCCGGCCCCATTGTCTTTGAAGTATCTAGCTTACTCAGAAGCCTCTTCACTTCTTCCTCGGTTGTGTGTACTGTGTCCAGCACTTGGTGGTGTACCCCACCTCTCCGTCTTTCTGGAGCCCCTTCTGTCTCTTCTGTGAACATTTCTTTGAATCTCGTTTTGAGTTCCTCACATACTTCACGGTCGTTTCTTGTTGTCTCTCCTCGTTCCTTCCTTAGCCTGATTACCTGGTCTTTGACTGTTGTTTTCCTCCTGATGTGGCTGTATAACAGCTTCAGGCCAGATTTGGCTTTCGCTGCTATGTCGTTTTCATATTGTCGTTGGGCCTCCCTTCTTATCTGTACATATTCATTTCTGGCTCTATGACCTCTTCTTATTCTCCTGGGTCCTTTGTCTTCTATATTTCTTCCATTAACTAGCACATTTGGCTTTTGCCTCCCTGCACCTTTGGGTGAACTATGGACTCATCCTGGCTTTTTCATTATTCCTGTTACCCTTGGGTACAAACCTCTCCTCAACTTTCTTGCATATTGTTGTTACATATTCCATCATCACATTTACTGGCTTCCCTGCCAGTTCTCTGTCCCACTGAACCCAGTTCAGGAAGTTCCTCATTCCCGTATAGACCACTTCCTTG